ACAGAGACCGGTAAACAGAAGGAAAGGAGGCTGGGAACTGAAATTATATTGAATACCATAATGATGATGAACTTCCACAGATGAGCCTTTTTCTGAGTAACTCCCTCATCTTCTCAATTAAAAACTGTTACTAAGATTATTTTTTTTTTTAATAAAATAAAATGCAAATTGCTTGTTGCTTGCTTACTAGTCTTTGATAAAACAAATTGTACCCAGAGTATGAGAATTAATCACCATCAGAAGTTCTTTCACCAATGGAGGATCTTCATTCTTGAAGAACATCAAAGAGCAAAACAGGCATCTCTACCCTTAGACCACTGGCAATAGTAACTTCTTTTGATGGCAAAGTCTCTGATTCAAAGAGTAACAATGCGTTAAATTCACTTGACAAACAAAATAGCTGCCAGGCAAGCAACTTCCTAACTTCCCATACACATATGGATGAGCAATACGTTTTAACACTCTTTCCTTCAAGTATTCATAGGCAATTTTGCAAAAACACAGACCATATACCAACTATATACTATCTTGCAATCATTTTGTGCTTATAACCAAGTCCAAATGTATACTCAGCAGATACGTCAATTCCCATTCCCATCAACTCAAACTTCAATTTTGCTTTCTAAAGTACTTGCCTGCAGTTACCACATGGTGGTATCCACGCTAACAGTTTCCCCTACATTGTAATGAAATTAATACCCTAAATTGCTTCTGTAGATCTCTTCAGAGTGATGCGGAGATGCCTTTTTAGTTTACTGAAAAAACAAGAAAGCCAACCTTCTTTGTCAATATAGATCTGGGGCCAATGCAATTCTTACACAACTTCTGGCAACCTAAATTCCGAGGGAGCAATTCAAGTAATAGCCCAATAAAGCCTTCTCCTTGGAAGAAATTATCATGTTCCTTCTTTGTTTTCTCAGTTCAGCAATTATTACGCCGGTATCTCCTCTTCTGAAAGCACGGTGTCCACAGCTTTGATTTATAAAGAATGAAAAGAACCTTTGTACTTTAAGCGCTGTCTAGGAAAACAGTCAAGGTAAGAAAGCAATGGACATTAGCAGCATGTCATTCATGTTTACTCTGTGGTAGCATAATGATACTAAAATGAAGAGCTAGCTCCAAATGCAAAATGCTGCGACCATCAGACCCAGCTCCCTGCGTAACACCACAGCTGGGGTGATGCAGTGGGGCTGCTGTTGGCACAGAAGCAAACTGACAACAGTTAGATGAAACACACCTTGTATATCGTACACCCCTCCTTTCAGCAAACGCATTCTTTCAATTTAGTATTGATTTCATAACTGGTGACACTACAGATTAACTGTGATATGGGTTTTCATAAAAAGGGTCTTAAAAGAACAAAACTACTTTAAAACAGTAGAAGGATGGGGAAAATAAGGAAAAAGACATGTTTCAGTCCAAAACATTCAGTTCAGACTGTCTTGACTGACATTATCTGGATGTAAGTTTCTTCCAGCAACTCACATGTTAAAAATTCCCTACTTTTTCACCCTCAGTATGGTTAAGTTCACTATTTTTAGCTCTTTTGGCTCTATGTAATTTAATGATTTCACTCAAATAATCTTAATGCTTGGGAAAAAAAAAAAAAAAAAATCACGATGGTCATTCCACTAACATCAAAAGCAACATAGAGAAATATTTAGAACACAGTAAATTACTTGTGCAAATGATCTACAAACAGCTTTAAATCAATATTCAAAGAAAATTTCCAGTCACAAGATACACACTGAAGAACATAAACCTTAATATTTAATAAGCAGGTTTCTTATTTGTATTATCAAAATCAGACCACAGAAGGAATACTTGCTGCCTTTTGTGTTTCTCTCATATGTAATATTTGAAATATTTGTACCTCAGATACAAATACAAAAATGGCCATCTGCACTCCAGAACACAAGTATGAGTAGTGATAGTGAAAATAACTCTCAACAGTTTTATTATTAGGACATCTTCCTACACCTATTATTGCTTTCATGTTGAATAGTGTCCTGGTTTGGGCTGAAATAGAGTTAATATTCCTTTTTGGGGACTAGATGAGTGCTGTGTTTTGGATTCAGCTTTGGGTTTGGTATGAGAAGAACACTGATAGCACACTGATGTTTTCAGCTGCTACCGAGACTTCAAGGACCCTCCAACTCCCCATGTCCTGCCCGAGTGCAAGGGCACAGGGAGCAGGGAGGGAGCACGGCCAGAGCCCCCGACCCAAACTGGCCAGTGAAATATTCCATATCATGGAACGTCATGCTCACTACAGAGAGGAGTGGTTGGGAAGGGGGTCTCACTCTCACTTCCAGGACTGTGATTGCAAGATCTTGGCATTTCAGGATCACTATCCAGGAACAGGCTGGGTGTTGGTTAGCAGGTGGTGAGCAACTACATTGTGCATTGCCCATTTATATTTTTTTTCCTATTATTGTCATTGTTCTCATTTTATTACCATTCTTAAATTGTTTCTGTCTCAGCTTGAGAGTCTCCCTTCACCCCTCTAATTCCCTCCCTCATTCTCAGGTGGGGAGGGGGAAGGGTGGGTGACCAGCTGCAGTGGTTGGTTGCCGACCAGGCTCAAACCACAGCAAATAGAAAGACCTTTTTAAGTTACAATCACTTTTGAAGACTAATAGAAGCAGAAAAAACAATTCTCAAGATAGATTTGGAAACAGTGGAACAGATTAATAGAACTTCGTCAGTACAGTGTACAAGTAAGCATCTTGCCAGAATGAAAAATGCCTTGAAAATAAATACAAAGGGACTTGTTCTTCTGCAAACTACTTCCATAAAATATATAACAGATTGCACCAAAAGGAATTCCAAAGACAACAAATGTTCCTCTGAAGTATACTTACACACCATAATTAAAGATATCATTGCCAAGCTGTATTCAGAAAGAAAAATTATGAAGTCTCCTAGGAAGCAGTTACCCACCCAGTTCTTTATAGTTTGTGTATCTTGGAAGCCTTTTACAGACTACATTCCACCATTATCAGGCACAATATAGTTAAGTGACAATTTTCCAAATATACTCTGAATCTGAAACCAGTTGGTTCATATACAGGTGCTAGAAGTATGCATAAGCATGAGATTGCATCATTAGTTATCCTAATTAGCATTATATTTCAGATTAGCTTAATTTGCAGTCTTTTCTTAGGGTGCTCTTTCCATTTGTACCAAAACACAGATAAGCCAATAACACCCACTGCTTTACTGAATGGCATCCTGCAGAGGTGTCTTGGGTTCTCAAACTCAGTAGGGTTTGGCAGAGTGGCTTCCAGTGGTGACCAAAAAAAAAAAAAAACCAAAACCAAAAAACCACACAAACAGAAAATTAAGGGGTTTAAGGCATCATGATAAAAAAACAAACAAACAAAACCAGCAATAGCAACAAACCTAAACCAAACAAAACAAAAACTCACCACAAAACCTCAGGAGTTTCAACTTTCCACCTGAGATTGTGAAACAATGCTAGTAGAAAAGAAAGCTTCCTGCGGGTTTGGGAAGCTAGTGATCTAATACACTGCTGCACTTCATACAGACGCCTTGAATTGATGACTACTGGCAGCACATCACACATTTCCAAGGTCACCACCTTAGAAAACTGAAATACTCTGAAGTGCTTATCCTATTACAAAACAGAGCACAATGCCTGGAACAAACAGTGCTCCATCTGTCTGCTTGTGTTCTGTTTTCTTCTTCATCTGACAAATCATGAAGGAGATTAAATGATTAATTTCCCCACACCACCATGAAGCAGCACCTTTCCTTCCAGTCTTGCAGCAGAAGCAGCAACCAGTTTTAGCCCACTCCATTTAGAAGAGCCACTACTCTTTCCCAGTTAAATGGGCTGCACACCAATATGGGCATTGCACTTAGACTTGGTTCTCTCAAGGCAGCAAGACTTCAAAAATCAGTGACTAACTCTGTATGGATTTCCAAATAATAATTTTATATAAAAGAAGCCTCAGCAGGTGCTGAACATACATCTCTGCAATGAACAATGTCTAAAATGCTTTTTAGCAAATGAAAGGGAAGAAAAATGCAGCCTGGACTTGGAATGCACGAACAGAAGCCAGCAACGGCTGGAAAGGTTCCCTTTGTCATCCATTACACTCAGCAGCCTTGCCAACACCAAGTGGTGCATACATCCACAAAGCCCATTTCTCAGAACCAATACTGTGAGTTTAAAAGGGCATCAGGGAGAAGCAGGAGGAAGCAACAACATACTAGAAAAGCATATGAACATTTGCAGAACTGATATTTACCTGAACTAACTGAATTTGACTTCTCTAAAACAGCTGACTCTGCCTGCCTCCACACTGTTCTCTGAACTTTGATTTTTACCTTTTGCTTCAGAAAAGAACATATGGACACACCCGAGTCTCTACTTCTCCCATCAGTGACTTTTGAGATTCATACCTGAGATTTTCAGTTCTATTTATTAGTAAATCTAACTAATTTGTAAAATGAAGTGTCCTTCCTCATCCCTATTCTGTAAGTGCTGCAACAGAAAGAAAAAGGTCACTATCTCATATTTGCCCCATGTTGTACAGCCATGTTGTACAGAGGCAGATGCCTACTTTCTCGCCCTGTGGCACCTTCCAAACTTCTACTGCAGGCAGCTCTGAAGGCACACACAGCCCCTCTCAGAGAAAGAAAATTCAAGAGCCTTACTAAACCCTTCCATTCACAGTGGGGAAATTCAGCCAAAGTGGGCAAAATCTATAGAATCTGAAATTTAAAAAAACATTGCTCTACATTTTTGCTCTCGTTATGTTTTTGACTCTTGCCTTGAAGCAATGGACATAGTCTTTTATTCAGAGGACCACACTAACAAGTAATTTTATTCTTAACACACTTTGACTTATAAATTAACTATGCCACCTCCCAACACATCCTTCTGAGGCATCTAGAAAATATTCACCAGGTACCACAAAAATATCTGTACTACAGACCGTATTTTTAAGAGCAGTAATAAAAAATGTTACCTTATCCTTTTATCTTCTACTTTCTTCAGATACTCATCTCTCTTCAATACTCCCAATATTGTTTCCCTTTCATGTTCTAACAAAAATGACAAATTGATGATCTCCAGGTGCTTCGTCATGATTCTCCAAGAGCCACTCTTTCAATAACTGCTTTGCCCAATCAAGTCTTCCAATGATTTATTTGCACAAGTCCAAAGGCACGTTTGTGTCAGTTACAAGATGCACACAGTCAAGAGGTATTTTGAAAAATGCTTCTTTAAGTTAACCGCGTGTCAAGATTGTATTGCTTTGCCTTCCAGCTATGCAAGGAACAAAGGTTTCTTCTTTGTTTCTTCCTCAAGGGAGTCAGTCATCTTCCTCGGTACTGAATGCACTTGTGTCCTGGCTGATGCTCGCTGGCACACTGCAGGCTTTCACACTGCATGCACAAGCAGCTTCAGAATCAACTTCCCAGCATAATTGTAGTTTGGAGCCACAAAATAGCTGTGTATATTTATTTCAAACTACCTGAAAGTCAAAACAAACAAGCATAGGTGACTTCGACATTACCATCACAGTCTGATTTGAGAAAGGTTTAATCTAGTAATGGTTTGAGAGCCACCAAAGTTGCAGCTATTGTGTTCAGGGCTGCAGTAACATACCTGATGCTGAAATAGCCCAGTTTTTCTGTCTGTCAGATATCCAATATATGCGTAACAACCAGCCAATTGACATTGAGATTTGGACTCGTCTCACCTTCCAGATTTTCTTCTTTACTATGAAATTGCTATTCAAAAATAATAGATTTCCTAACCAGACACTGCCTAGCTGCTGAAGCTTCAGCAAATAGCTCAAAAGAAGCTCGTATTTGTTCAGACAGGATTCCTTCTAAACACATTAAACTCATGACCTCTGCCTAGGTCATATTCTAGACCACAAGCTAGCTGAAGTACTAGCAGCAGCTAACTTTGCATAAGCCAAGTTTTCCCAGTTCTTAGATACTGTTAGTCTTGCAAGGCTATCTTTTAGGACTGAAAATAGTGCAGATATCTTTACCCCACCTGAAACGAAGCAGATGTCAGAAAGCCATTGTCTCTGCATCCTACTTCACTCCTGCCTGATTGGACAAATTCTGTGTTGAAACTCTGATACTACTGCCTTCATTCTGACATGTGCTGGTACAAGAGGTACCAAAACATGACCTACCTACAGGAGGAGACCATCTGGTTTAGCTCCCGTACCTTTTGGGGTAAGTGGTGGGCATTTCTGTTATACACATAGTTGTTAAAGAACAGCAATAGCAAAACCAGCAGGAGCACTTGCTCTATGGAAAAGGAGACTAATAAGTAATGAGACACTGTTTTTAACAAACAGTTAAGACTTCCCTGCTTTAGACAACACATGATTAGAGATCAGGCCTGTATTTTACAAGATTTAACAGGAAAATTTTCACTTCTCCTGCACTACTTTTTGCTCTCTCTCTAAATAGTCCAGTATAAATTAGCTACCAAAAGCTGAATTATGAACCAATTTAGGTTTTAAAAACAAAAGAAGTAGCCAGCTTTTTGAAAGTGACAAAGATCCTTTTAACAGATTTTTGATGTTTTATTAAGCAACCCTGTGGCTGGTTAGAAAGTGTAGTTGTTTTCATCCTAAACTGAGTTAAGATTTCATACAATGGAGCATTTAAGAAGCACTAAAATGAAAATTAGGACACATGGTAAAATGAAAAGCCCTCTAAAAGTACAAGGCTCAGTTCTAATCTACATTCAATACATTGATAGGATATTAATTTCTTAAGTGACAGTATAAGCAACAATCTAATATTGGACTTGCAAAGGAAGTGGTAACGAAGGAGGAATGAATGAAGTGACACAATCACAAGACAGCATGTAAGTGAGCCTCTCGAATATCTGGCTTTTTTCCTTGCCTCATGCAACGGGCTAGAATTGCTCCTTGGGACTATCCACATGCTTTTCCCATTTTTCTTATCCCCATCAAAAGGGATTTCTAGTATGGAGTCTTCCTCTCTGAAGCTAATGTTGAGGGAAGATACATTACAAATAACACATTATTTTTAGCACATGGCAGCAAAATTAGACACAACTGAACAATAAGGTGCAGTTTATCCTGCAGTATACCTTCATCCACTGTACACAGGTACCATGTCTATCCAGAGAGTGTTTGCTCACCCCCTCAAAACAAAAGAATTGCATAAGGCTTGTTTGAGAGGGGAAAAAAAAAGGGGGGGGGGGGGGGGGGGGGAGAAAAAGCATTACAGTGGGGAAGAACATGCGATTTATTTTTGCTAACTGCTCGCACAGTTGCTTGTGACAATTAGAAACACAGCACCCCCAAAACTAAATCTTTGTGAGGGATGTTAGCCGAGGGCTACAGGAAGCACAGTGAATCCACTGCAGTCAGCTACATTTGTAGCTACCCCAGGTACAGCGACCACTATTGTCACTGCCGCATGTATCCTGATGAACCCAGCAAATCAACAGCTCCATTTGCACTTCAAAATGCTTTTCCCTCCTCCCCCATCTACTCAAGAAGGAGGAAAAGCATCCTGCTCCCAAGAGACAGAGGCAGAGGTGAAAGGAAGAGAGATGTACAGAATAGGAATTACCTCTTTTCTTCAATGACACTATCATCAAATTGCTTGATGCAAGAAATTACTTCCACCAACAAGTCATTATGTTTACTTATCCAGAAGCACCAGTACATGGAATGATTTAGTGACTCAGCAACAGAAGCAGAATTTCCACATGCACTGACTGCAGTGGTATGGGAACCATGACATCACCTCAAGTTGCTTGAGTGAGAGAGCCTTCACCTTCTGCTGGTGGGACAGGCACAAAAAGTATTTCCATACTGGTAAGTAAATTCCTACCAACAGCAGCCAAATGTTGCATGGCGTGCTGGACTGCAATTGACTTTTGCCACATGAGAAGCTGAGATATCTTGTCTCTTGAAAAGGAACCAACCACTGTCCAAACCAAAGCTGCACAAGGCACAACGGCCAGGTTGGAAACTCAGCAGGAGCAGGATGGATGGTCCTGCTGCCCCTTACACATGCTGCAGGAGGCCACAGCTGCCCCGTCCCAGCTCAGTGCTGGCACTGGGTATCACAGTGTGCTGAATCTACCAGATCCAATGCGCTCAGCCTTGACACTCAAATTAAGAGAGGCATGTTTCATATATGCCCTGCTTAAAATACACAAATCCTCTGTATCCTTAGTTCACTCACATGGGGGTCTGAAATAAAATTCACAGAACCATAAGAATGGTTTGGGTTGGAAGGGACCTTAAAGATCACCTAGCTCCAACCCCCCTGCCATGGGCAGGGACACCTCCCACCAGACCAGGTTGCTCACAGCCCCGTCCAGCCTGGCCTTGAACCCTTCCAGGGAGGGGGCAGCCACAGCTGCTCTGGGCAACCTGTGCCAGTGCCTCACCACCCTCACAGCAAAGAATTTCTTCCTTACATCTAATCTAAATCTACACTCTTTCAGTTTAAAACTGTTACCCCTTATCCTGTCACTACACTCCCTGATAAAGAGTCCCTCCCCAGCTTTCCTGTAGCCCCCTTTAAGCACTGGAAGGCTGCTATCAGGTCTCCCCGGAGCCTTCTCTTCTCCAGGCTGAACAACCCCAACTCTCTCAGCCTGTCCTCACAGGGGAGGTGGCTCCAGCCCCCTGATCATCTTCATGGTCCTTCTCTGGACCTGCTCCAACAGCTGTGTGTCTGTCTCGTGCTGGGGACCCCAGAGCTGGACACTGGACTGCAGCTGGGATCTCACGAGAGTGGAGCAGAGGGGGAGAATCCCCTCCCTCGACCTGCTGGCCACAATTCTCTTGATGCAGCCCAGGACACGGTTGGCTTTCTGGGCTGTGAGTGCACACTGACAGATCATATTCAGTTTTCCATACACCAATACCTCCAAGTCCTTCCCTGAAGGGCTGCTCTCAATCCCTTCATCCCCCAGCTTCTATTGATACTGGGGATTGCCCCGATGCATGTGCAGGACCTTGCACTTGGCCTTGTTGAAACTTGTGAGGTTCACACGGGCCCACTTCTCAATCCTGCCAAGGCCCCTCTGGATGGCAAAACTAAAATGGCTTCACTAGGTAGCCACCAAAACAGTCCACGTCCACAGTTACCTTTTATCTTTTCTGAGGCCCACAGTTGTATGGAGGTCTATGACGGTGGAAGGAAGAGATGGATGGCCAACATTAAGTCTAATAAAATGGCAGAAATACATTAAATACAGAAATACATTCTTGTCATACCAAGAAACTTTAACAAATGTAAAGCTTACCATGTTGAGTGTGTAATGGCCAACTTGTCTCTCATCCTGTTTCAACTTAAGCATACTGCTTGCAGAATGCCATATACAGAAGCAAGAAAAACCAGCTTCACTTCCCAACCATTTGTTTGCAGAGTGCACACACCCGGGTAGGCAAACTAAGTGCCAGCAGGTACTGAAGCACCAGGAAATGCTTGTTACACAAAATCAATACATTTTCAAGGTAAGAAAGAGCGACTGAAGACAGTGAAATCAAGTTGCAATAAAAGAAAACCAAATCATACTTGTTGAATGTGATCTCGGTTAATGACACATGGATTAGACAGAGAGCTCTAGTCAGTATTACAGTGCAAATAGTAAGCAGATTCTTTGACTAAAAACAAACTTCAAAGATCTTTAGATATAATAGCTGGAAGATTTATGAACTGGCAAGTCACATATTGTATTTAAGAAAGGGTCATATATAAGTGGCAGCAACATTATTTGAAGAGACATTAAAAGCACAGAATACTATTATACAAATTTTTATCAGTGCACTGGAACAAATACAAGCCGAGAGAAAAGCTGAAACTGATTCTTCAAGTCCATTTCTCTAAGTCATGTAGCATAGGTGTGTTTGACTTCAGAGTAATCAGAAGAACTCAGATTCATTAATCAAACAAAAACAGTGGATTCAGAAGCAGATAATTTTTTAGGTCAGGCACAATTCCAGGTTTCTCATAATGTTTTGGCAAAGCTGTCACATACCTACAGGACCGCAGATCTCTCTACAACCACAGTCAGTGCCTTCGAGCTGTATCTAGTTTCTAGCACTCGTGTAATAACATTTCAAAACCAAAATTGTAAGTGCTTAAAGACTAAAGCAATAATGTTAAAGCTCATGAAGTCTATGAATTATTCCACATAACTGTGTAAGAAAGCACTAAATTAACATTCCTGATTATACAAGTAAGAGAGCTAAGACTAAGCTCAGCACTGCCAGTCTGAGCATTCATTAAACTATGCTCCTACTACAGGTCTCCCTCTGCTTGTTTTTCACCCCTTATTAAAAAAAATAAAAATCTTCAAGTAACATGAAAAAGCATTTAAAAAAATGTTATCTGTTTCCTTGTTGTAGAATTTTAGGCTCACACAGCTGATAAAATGGTCAGGTTTCATACTGCATGCAAGAGGGAATAGCACTGCCCAGTGAAAGCTCCCTAAGGAGTACACTGCTTT